GAAATAAACAGCTGTAGATTACTAAGACATTAATGGGACCATAATTTGGCTGACTCCTCAAACGTTATAAGCGAATAAACAATCGCACAGGACAGTGGGGTGCAAACATAGAAAAGATACTACCAAGAATAGTATTGTTTATATAGGAGCAACGCTATAGATAATCAACAAGCTGGGAATATGACCAGGACAGAGAGGATACAGACGAACAGAAAGTACTTTATAACCAGCAAGGATATATCCTAGCAGCATATTAACCAATCAAGTCCCCATTCATTAACCACAATTGAATGGGGTTATTACTAAAACCCTGGTTGAGGGCGTGTCCGGATTGTACTTAGTTTTGGGTCACTTCAAGGCCCCCAAAACCATATTGTCCCTCCTTGTCCTACACTCCACTAGCCTAAATCTGGCGTATGGTCCGACCCAGCGACAAAAATCCGGGACTGGCCTTAACCATCGACACTGTCATCCACGATCTCCTAGGGAAGATTTACCTGCCAGGGTGAAAATTCGGATCCACCAAATACAGGTAACGCTGTGCAGTGGCGGGATACGTATGAGAACCGAAAGGGGGTAAAATAACCCTGAAAGATCATACCATACCATAACATTTATTACAACACTATTTATATAACAAACTGATTTTGCATTTAAACATTGAACTTGTTTATTCAAGAGTTAAATTCACTTTCTTACAATAATTAAAGAATTCAAATATTCTCTTCAAACAGCCGACCCTAACTGTCTAAAATCTACCGTCTTATCTAGGTTTTCCACGCGTTTTTTTAAATGTTTATTTTTAAGACCTAAACTTGCTTATTTCTGTAACGAATTCTAAAGTAAAAACTTATACCTAACTCTTAATACAATTTAAAAACAAAATTTAATCCCATATTTTGTAAAGCTTAAAAAATGTTAAAAATTTTCTGTCCCATATTTTATAAAATAATAATAAAAATAAAATAAAGTTTATTTATATAATTTATTACATTTTACTATTACATTACAATCGACAATTTTATTAGTCGATCCTATTTATTTTAATTATTAAAACTACAAATAATTAGGTAGGTATATTTATATTAAAATTGTAATTTAATAGAAGAAAAGAAAAATTGTACAGGATAAAAGAATAAAATAATAAATATGCACGCAAATTAATTTTGTTTTAATCATTAACGTTTCTTGAACAATATTAATTAGGTACTTATTTAATATTTGTTTGGATAGGAAATGTTGATTTCTAAAATCATGACTAATGTAAAAGTACCAAAAAGAATGCATCTGAGATTTAATTATCTTTCACAATAATTCGTGATTAATTCATGAAAACTCAAACGGTAGATAAACGTCAGAGTAAAAAAAATGAACAATTTTTGATGACACACAATTTGTAATACAGATTTTACATGTAATACCTACTGAGTTATAATAATTGAAGTAACAAATATCCTTAAGTTTATATACATTTTATATTATGATAAAAATTATAAAATGTTAGAGAAAGTTTTGTAACAATAAATTAAATTATTATTGAATTAATTGGCTCATTCAGATGCAATTAAAATTTAATTTTCTGTTCACACTTTGTATATGTAAATTATTAATACCACTATTTAAGTTCGTAATTATAATAGTATATTATGTATCAAGTTTGATAAACGCCATTTTATACACAATTTTAATTTAGGCACGAGCGAGCTTGCGAGCGAGTGCCTAAGTTAATGAGTGTATAGAAAAGTTTATAAACGAGGTGCATACTATACTTTTTCTACGACAAATACTTATTATTATCTTAAAATGATTTAAATCAAAAATCAAAAATTTGTATAGAACGCCATCTATGAAACAACAGGGGAAACTGTCAAATGTCACATTTTTACATTTTATAAACACAATTATAAAGGTTATAAATCGAAATGTATCTTGAAAATTGACAGTTTTTCACAGTGAAAGTAAAGGAAATGTTTTATGAGGACTTTACAGTAGAGTCCGTGCCCGAATTTAAGTTATAGTTTACTGTCGGCGAAATTAAAAGGTCAGTACAATGGTCATATAAACTTTTCAAATATTGGCGTTAAGAAACTGTTTAATATTTTTGTATTTTTGTATTGAGATAATAAAATAATTTTCACATTTAGTATTATTTTACAACAAAGGCCCTTTATTTTAACGATTGTATGACATTTGACAACTGTCAACTAACTTAAAACTAACTTCAGCCCGTGACTAAAAACCTGTTGCTAACTTCAGCCCGTGACTAAAGCGCCGTAAAGCCACAACTTGTCAATGTGTATTTAAAAGGTCACTTAGTGTCATGGAAACATGTGCGATAAAGGGCGTTTTAAAGGTAGGAGTAGAAAAATAACTTAAACCACCAAATGATAAAAATTATCTGTCCCATATTTTATTAAATAATAATAAAAATAAAATAAAGTTTATTTATTGATTACATTTTACAATTACATTACAATCGACAATTTTATTAGTCGATCCTATTTATTTTAATTATTAAAACTACAAATAATTAGGTAGGTATATTTATATTAAAATTGTAATTTAATAGAAGAAAAGAAAAATCGTACAGGATAAAAGAATAAAATAATAAATATGCACGCAAATTAATTTTGTTTTAATCATTAACGTTTCTTTAACAATATTAATTAGGTACTTATTTAATATTTGTTTGGATAGGAAATGTTGATTTCTAAAATCATGACTAATGTAAAAGTACCAAAAAGAATGCATCTGAGATTTAATTATCTTTCACAATAATTCGTGATTAATTCATGAAAACTCAAACGGTAGATAAACGTCAGAGTAAAAAAAATGAACAATTTTTGATGACACACAATTTGTAATACAGATTTTACATGTAATACCTACTGAGTTATAATAATTGAAGTAACAAATATCCTTAAGTTTATATACATTTTATATTATGATAAAAATTATAAAATGTTAGAGAAAGTTTTGTAACAATAAATTAAATTATTATTGAATTAATTGGCTCATTCAGATGCAATTAAAATTTAATTTTCTGTTCACACTTTGTATATGTAAATTATTAATACCACTATTTAAGTTCGTAATTATAATAGTATATTATGTATCAAGTTTGATAAACGCCATTTTATACACAATTTTAATTTAGGCACGAGCGAGCTTGCGAGCGAGTGCCTAAGTTAATGAGTGTATAGAAAAGTTTATAAACGAGGTGCATACTATACTTTTTCTACGACAAATACTTATTATTATCTTAAAATGATTTAAATCAAAAATCAAAAATTTGTATAGAACGCCATCTATGAAACAACAGGGGAAACTGTCAAATGTCACATTTTTACATTTTATAAACACAATTATAAAGGTTATAAATCGAAATGTATCTTGAAAATTGACAGTTTTTCACAGTGAAAGTAAAGGAAATGTTTTATGAGGACTTTACAGTAGAGTCCGTGCCCGAATTTAAGTTATAGTTTACTGTCGGCGAAATTAAAAGGTCAGTACAATGGTCATATAAACTTTTCAAATATTGGCGTTAAGAAACTGTTTAATATTTTTGTATTTTTGTATTGAGATAATAAAATAATTTTCACATTTAGTATTATTTTACAACAAAGGCCCTTTATTTTAACGATTGTATGACATTTGACAACTGTCAACTAACTTAAAACTAACTTCAGCCCGTGACTAAAAACCTGTTGCTAACTTCAGCCCGTGACTAAAGCGCCGTAAAGCCACAACTTGTCAATGTGTATTTAAAAGGTCACTTAGTGTCATGGAAACATGTGCGATAAAGGGCGTTTTAAAGGTAGGAGTAGAAAAATAACTTAAACCACCAAATGATAAAAATTATCTGTCCCATATTTTATTAAATAATAATAAAAATAAAATAAAGTTTATTTATTGATTACATTTTACAATTACATTACAATCGACAATTTTATTAGTCGATCCTATTTATTTTAATTATTAAAACTACAAATAATTAGGTAGGTATATTTATATTAAAATTGTAATTTAATAGAAGAAAAGAAAAATCGTACAGGATAAAAGAATAAAATAATAAATATGCACGCAAATTAATTTTGTTTTAATCATTAACGTTTCTTTAACAATATTAATTAGGTACTTATTTAATATTTGTTTGGATAGGAAATGTTGATTTCTAAAATCATGACTAATGTAAAAGTACCAAAAAGAATGCATCTGAGATTTAATTATCTTTCACAATAATTCGTGATTAATTCATGAAAACTTAAACGGTAGATAAACGCCAGAGTAAAAAAATGAACAATTTTTGATGACACACAATTTGTTATACAGATTTTACATGTAATACCTACTTAGTTATAATAATTGAAGTAACTAATATCCTTAAGTTTATATACATTTTATATTATGATAAAAATTAAAAAATGTTTTGTAACAATAACTTAAATTATTATTGAATTAATTGGCTTATTCAGATGCAATTAAATTAAATTTTCTGTTTACACTTGGCATATGTAAATTATTAATACCACTATTTAAGTTCGTAATTATAAATTCATTTATTCTATTCCTAATACTATAATTTCAAAGATTTAAATAAAAACTAATTTACTTTTTATTTTAGTTAACTACATAAATTGTTTTATAACCTGATTTACTTTTTGTATGCATATTTTATTAATCAAAAATAGATTATAATATAATAAATAATTATCTAAATATATGTAAATATTTTTTAAAGGCAAAATGTAATTAATACACAAAATTATAAAAAATTATTTTGTTGTTGATAAGATAAGATAATATAAAAAGCGTATAAAATTGTATGCATAATAAGTCGCTTCCAGTTTTGCTGGTTACCATATTAACACATTTGAATTTAAAAATTGCATATTGCTGCAGCAACGGAAACTATAAATATATGCGATCCCCACCTAGAAAGAAGTTCCGAAGACTTTGCGCGAAAACCACCGAATATATTTAACTCACAATTTCAAATTATACGCCTGATTTTATTCATGTCTAGAGCGGTTTTAAAGTAAATAATATTTTAAGTGTTGGTGGTGATTTATTTGGTGTTTGAGAAAAAATATTATCGTGTAATGGCTTCCATAATTACTGTGCGTTTAAACAAAGATTCCTCCCCGAATTGGGGATTCAGACTTCAAGGTGGTAAGGATTTTGGAACCCCCCTTATTATTCAAAAGGTAAGTTTACATATTTTTTTCTTATTTAATTTTTATATTATGTTGAATAACTCAATAAATTTGGGCACGCTCTAAAAAATCTATTCTTAAATTATTGTGACACTCTTTCAGTACCTTTATTTTAGGATCTGCCAAATTTATATTTGCTTGTAGCAACATTTTTTAGCGTATTTTAACTGGAAATCGGTTACTATTAATACGATTTTCTTACATAATTTTAGTAAATGCTTGGTTTCGGAATTATTATTTTTAGATCCAACAGTGTTGCGAATTTTTAGGCATATTTCACTAGTGACATATAAAAGTTAAATTTAGAATTTGGATCGTCTTTATTGTAACTTAATACTATAATTCTCAATAAAACGTATTAATGACTTTATTCTTTAACCTTACTAATTTTACTGTTTTAAAATCAATTTATTTTCTCCATACACCTTATCTAAATTATTTTTTTTTTTTTAAATAATGTCAAGCTATATTTTTAAAACCTTAATAATACTTATTTGTGCAAGTACATATGGGGCAATCCATGCCAAATCACCGAGGTTTTGACCCGACCCCCTTCGATTTCGCTGAAACTTTTTTATCATTTTCTATCCTACCAAAGACATTTTTCTGAATTTTTTCAGATTTTTTTACCCAACCCAAAAAAAGTTACGAATTTTTGAAAAAAACCGCTCTTGTATTTTAAAATTGCAATAACTTTTTCACAAATTGACCTTTCGGCACGTTTTTTTTTTTTGAAATTTTTGTTTTTAAATGTAGATTTCAGAAAAAAATACAAACAATTTTTCGGAAGTCACGATATATGAAATATTTCAGTTTTTTCAATAAAACCGTAATTTTTTCGAATTCTGAAACCTTCGATTCTCAATTTTTTTGTCTCAAAAAAATCTTCAACTAAGACAGTATTTAACTCCACTATTCCCATTTTGTGCCGACTTTCCATTCTATTGTTTTTTTTCGATTGAAAATAAAGAAATTTCTCAATTTGGCTTATTTTTTATGACTTTGCGTTGAGGTTTTTTTTATTGTTTTTAAAAGCTCAGAAGTTGAATAAAATTGGATAAAAACAACCGTAAATTTTTTATTAAAGTATTGTTTTTACATCGTTAAAAATCTAAATATTTTAATTATTTTCCTCGGTTTAGCGATTGTTTTCTTGAATTCTTAACCGTACAATGTACGTAAACGTAAACTCTTTTTAAGAAACAAAATAGTCTAATTCACAGTTTAAAAAAATATCAAAACATTAGTTTATAAAAAGTGTTATTTTTTAAAAAATTAACATTTTTATTATTTTACCACCTCTTTTAAATAAAAAACAACGAAACGTCAAGTATACCTACTTTAAAAAACATATATTTGAATGTGATTATAATCGTCTTTCTTTATAATTTAATAACACAAATTCATTCTTTAACACAAGTTTATTACCATCAGTCACTGAACATCCACCATAACCTTTCGTACTTTCTTTATGTTTTTTTATTACCATAACCTTCCGTACCTTCTTTAATGCAAGTTCATTCTTTAACATAAGTTCATTCCTTAAGACACAACATTGTACGGTTAAGAATTCAAGAAAACAATCGCTAAACCGAGGAAAATAATTAAAATATTTAGATTTTTAACGATGTAAAAACAATACTTTCAACTTCTGAGCTTTTAAAAACAATAAAAAAAACCTCAACGCAAAGTCATAAAAAATAAGCCAAATTGAGAAATTTCTTTATTTTCAATCTAAAAAAAAAAACAATAGAATGGAAAGTCGGCACAAAATGGGAATAGTGGGGTTAAATACTGTCTTAGTTGAAGATTTTTTTGAGACAAAAAAATTGAGAATCGAAGGTTTCAGAATTCGAAAAAATGACGGTTTTATTGAAAAAACTGAAATATTTCATATATCGTGACTTCCGAAAAATTGTTTGTATTTTTTTCTGAAAACTACATTTAAAAACAAAAATTTCAAAAAAAAAAACGTGCCGAAAGGTCAATTTGTGAAAAAGTTATTGCAATTTTAAAATACAAGAGCGGTTTTTTTCAAAAATTCGTAACTTTTTTTGGGTTGGGTAAAAAAATCTGAAAAAATTCAGAAAAATGTCTTTGGTAGGATAGAAAATGATAAAAAAGTTTCAGCGAAATCGAAGGGGGTCGGGTCAAAACCTCGGTGATTTGGCATGGATTGCCCCATATATATTAATTATAATTTATAAAAATATTTCGTTGTATTATTAAAAATTATTAAAAAAATATATATTTTATTACTTATTGTTATCTCAGCCATAAATTGCATATAAAAAAGCTACCTATGACTTTATAACAAATATTATTATTTAAAAATAAACAAATCGATGGCAATTAACTTTTGATCATAAAGAATTAATATAATTAAATTTTTTCGACATTGAAACTCATTGTCAAGTTAATTCCAGTATTTTTAAATAAATGTATATTTAGTTTAATCAACTAATACTGTTGTTAATTATGTATGTGCACAGAGGGGTAATTGTATATTTTGCGTTCATAATGACTTCATTATAACACCGCTTTCAGTGCTGTAATGAGATACTTTATCCCACCCAAAATTTTGATTTTATAGGTTGGCATAATGATTTGCATATTGGTTATAATATTTTTATGATTTTTCTAGCACTTTCGAGACTTTTCTAGCAATAAATTTTGTTTAGCACCAATGAAAATCCTTTTTTTCTTCTTTAACATTAACAGCCGCTTATTGTAAATAATTAAATTAAGGACGGCATGACGATTCGATTTTGACATTAACCGTCAAACCAATGACTGTGATACCAACTATCTAAAGTAAAATTCGACCAAATTAAATTTAAGGTATAACATTTTTTTTATAGAATTTTTGCAAAATAGATAAAATAGCATAAAGAACTCATGTCATAAGACCTTTTGTCGCACCCCTTTCATTACAAAACTCGCTCCTTCCGTCTTATGACATTAGTTCTTTAATATACTATTATAAAACAAATATTTAACTAAAATAATTTAACTTTATTAGGGTATTTTAAAATATTTTAAAAATAGTTTTTAGTATAACAATTATTGTAAGCATAATTTCTGTGGAAAAAAATATGATGTAAATAGTGCAAAATTGATAGCAGGAGCAGTTGCAATTATGTACGAGGTGTGTTCAGAAAATACCGGGAATTTCCGTTTTTTGAAAAAAATATTTATTTATTCGTTTACATTAATGTTGTCGCCTTCAAAATAGTCCCCATTGGATATTATGTACATGTGCCAGCTCTTCTTCCAATACTCGAAACACTTCTAAAACTCGGGATAGCCTTTAGTTCTTTCAGCGATGCGCTTTTAATGTCATCTATGCTTGCAAAACGACGGCCCTTTAAGGTTCTCTTTATTTTTGGGAATAGGAAAAAGTCAGACAGAGGCATGTCTGGCAAATATGGAGGCTGGGGCATCATCACAGTACTGTTTTTGGACAAAAATTTTGTTCCAAATTTCACAATTTTGGAACAAATTTTGTTGCCACGCGTTTTATACCCAAAACATTCGAAAAAATTTCATGAGATGAGCCAATCGATATACCAACATCATCAGCGACTTCTCTGATGGTTTATAACCATTTCTTCCACTTTTTCCATGTTTTTATCGGTTGTTAATGTGCTTGTGCGTTCGGGGCCTTCGTCATCTTCACCGTCTTCACGGCCATCTTGGAAACTCTTATAACACTTGTAAACTCTTGTTTTACTTATAGCAGACTCACTATAGGCCTTTGTTAACATTTCACAGAATTTATTTCATTTTTTAAGCAAAATTGGATACAAATTTCTTTGATCCATTTCTTTTAACGAACGAAAATCGCCGAGCTCATAAAACACGTTTAACCTTAGCGGCTGCCACAGACAAAGTAAACGATGAAAGCAGCTAAAGTTTTTATCATACTTCGGGGGCATGTAAACCAACATAATAAAGAAAATTTTATGACAACGGGACCCTCCGAACCCGCGAAATTTAACAATTCCCGTTATTTTCTAAACACACCTCGTACTCCAGAGCTAAAGTGAATTAAGTACATCTTTTAAATTCACGCTACATATTTTTTCGTTTTTTCCAATGGTAAACAGGATTAAGTGCGGGCTTACTTAGTTTTTGACATTTTAAAATTGGACTTAATACAGTTTGTCTCTGGGGCACAGAATTGCTAGCTAGAATTGCTAATTTTAAACCTTATTTGTAGTTAATATGTAGTTTACTACGATTTATTGCTTTGATACAAAGGTACTACAAATAAATACATATTAACACACATAAATCCATAGCTATTATTTTTAATTGCGCACGTAGCGAACGCTCAAAATAATCAGATCCAATTGATGATTTACAGGCTCTCAACAAATCATCCATAATTAACAAATAATTTTTTGTTAAGGTCCAATCACTTATAGATACTTTACTTATCCGTTTGTACTAGTTTATGACATAAATAAACCAGGGCCGTAGCCAGGGGGGGCGAATTAGGGCGTCGTTTGACAGGCAGAACTTTCGATCTGGCAGAAAATCTCAAACTAATTCAAAATTTTATATATTTTTTATTATAGCATTTAAGAAAAAAATGCACAATAAAAACTATCAGTAATATTTTATAAAACTGCAATATATGGGATATTTTACGCCAAATCGACCACTTTTAAACTTGACCCACTTGACTAAAATTTTGTATTATACCAAAAACGTTTCTGTAAATTTTTTCAATTTTTTTTACCCACTGGAAGTTTGGTTATTTTCAAATGGAGACGTTTTTTTTTAAATCATACGAGGTGTGTTCAGAAAATAACGGGAATTGTTAAATTTCGCTGGTTCGTTGGGTCCGGTTGTCATAACATTTTCTTTATTATGTTGGTATACATGCCCCCGAAGTATGATAAAAACTTCAGCTGTTTTCATTGTTTACTTTGTCTGTGGCAGCCGCTAAGGTTAGACGTGTTTTATGAGCTCGGCGATTTATC